TGGCATGTTCAGCACGATTAGAGTGCCACCACTTACATTTCATGTTTGGAAAGGATATAGTTTTAAAACCTATAATTACGGCAGAGATGCATAAATATCGACAGCGCATGAAAGCCAGCAGCAAATGTAATTGATAAAAAGATGGAGAAAACCACTTGAAAAGTTGAAAGCGTTAATATCAAATTTTGATCAGTCACTTTGAATTGAGGAACAAGAAATAGAAACCCCAGGTTATAAGATTTCTCAAAATCTTTCAACTAAATAGAAATAGATGTTTGATACAAGGATGAACAGGAGAAAACTTGTCAGTTTGAAACCAGATCAAAAAGAAATTTTCGCTTGGTTACGTATATAATTGCAAAAAAGAATAGAATTTAAAACTTAAGAAGTACATAATTTCTCATTTTTAAGAACATGGGGAAAATATATTTTACCTATTCTGATCTAGCAATCACTGAGCTTTGTCGGAATTGAAAGGCAGTTATTTTCGTCCCTAGGTTTTTAGGTTCATGTTTTACCATAAATGTTGTCTTCTTGTTCATAATTCTTTGTGGAGGATGTTTTGCTCCCCGTATATCTAGTCTTTACGTCTTTTATTAGTAATATTTTTTTGGAAAAAAAGCATATCATTGTTTTCTTGGCAGGAGAAAGATCATGGGAACTTCTTGATTGCATCATCATTTCCTTTGTGGTTTTTGGGTTAGTTGATTTATATTTCATTTTTTGGACTAGAGTTTTTCAACCAAGCAGAGCAAGTATTTAAATCAACAAGAGAAGGACGAAGAATGTACCATTTATTTGTACAAAATGAACTACAAAGTTCATTTTATTTGTAAATAAATTGAAAATGAAATTTGCAAATAACTTTTAAGCTATTTTATTTGCACATACACTTGAAATATTTGTGGACTTGAGTAGAATTATTCATCTAGAAGGACTTAATAAGAGTATAAAAAATATTTTAGGTTTGTCTCCAAACTCTGAAGTTCATTTTAAAATTTCATCAAATATAAAATGTACTTGTATAATTTAAGATGGAATTCATTCTAAAAGAAATTCCAGTTTCAGAACAATTTTAAACTTAGAAGTAATAGTTTGCAAATAAAATTCTACATTTTCTTTGGCATTTCTTTCTTTGAAACATGTCACTATTAGTTACCTTTTGAGAGATTTTGCAGTTTTTCATTCTTGCTCAAGTACTATGAGGTTTAATTCTTGGCATGATAATACATAGTATGTTTATAGTTGGAAATTCAATACCTTCCAGGCACTTCTCCATGTTTGTCACTTGAGTTAGCATGATTTAACAGCTGATCAGGTAGAGGAATCTTATCTTCTTTAATGTTCATGATTATGATTTTGTTAGGCAGTTGCAGAAGTTGCAAAGGCATCAAATCATGAAGCTTCTTCATTGCCAGCTCAAGCAGAATCTAATAGCATGCATGTCAAGGTCAAAGCATCTGATATGATGAAATATGGTCCTGGCACAAGCTCAGTTTTTCACGAGAACAGCAATATGTCTGGACCAGGTAACCACTAGATGCCTCCTATATTGGGCATAGATTTGAACTTTCATGAATTTAGCTCTAAATTTTGGTTTATCTTTCATGAAATTAGAAAGCACTAGGAGTTCAAAAAAAAATATATATATGTTTTGCTGGACTTTATTGTTCACCCCCATTGCCTATCTGTTTGCCATGAGAGGGAAGATCATTTCATTAACTGAAAAATATATGTTTGTTAGAGTCATCCTTTTCTTTGATTACTTTCTATATTGAGTTCAGAACACACTTGTGCATGGAAACATGTATCATTTTCCTGATTTATCAGCAAAATATTACTCCTGATAACTTATGTAGTCAACTTGCATTATTCCATAGATCTGATGCCTCATGTTTGGCTCCTTGTTGGCACGAGAAAATTGGCTCCTCCTTTGATGGTCTCATGAAATCCAATATGGCCTCTGTTACAGAAAGATTGGTTTGTATTGGATGCTGGTTTCCAATAATTCAAAATAATAATAATAATAATTCATAAAAGTGCCTACCTGAGTGCCTCATAGGTCTTGTGGCTCTTTTTTCTGATTCTTGGGCATGTTGGTGGTAGTGCTTTACTTCAGGTTGAGTGATGTCATCTACCAGCATGAGCATCGAATTAGCATTTTATGCCATAAGCGATTTATTAAAACCCTATATTTCTTTGAATAATTAGCATTTGATCACTTATATCCTGTCAAATATTATATTTATTTAGTTGAGTATACAATATCTTTTGACTCCTGTTCAATTGAATGTGTAGTGGAATGGGAAACTCTCTTGCTCAAGTTGAATGATTCTAAAAGGTACAGACGAACTGTTGGATCCATTGCTGGCTCATGCCTAAAGGCAGCAACCCCTCAACTAGCTTCATTGGAGCAAGCTGCATGCTTGGTGGCCTTGGATATAGTGGTGGTACCTTTCTGGCTGGATAGTTCTCCATGTTTTCCCTATTTTGTTGTTGTATACTTGATGTAGCGCAAATAGTGATGGTACCAAACTTATCCAGGAACTTAGAGATATATGGGAGAAATTCTGGGGGAAGAGAGTAGAAAATAGAACATAGAAAAAACAGGGATGAAGATTAAGATTTAAAAGGAGGAGAAAAAAGGAATAATTGACAGGCAAGGAGAAACAAAGGAAGACAGAAAAGCACTAGGTAGAATGTGAAGTTATATTACTCAAAACATCAATTCTTAGCTATGCTATCTTTAACACTGATTATAAGCATTTATATAGGTTCTAGCTTTAGCTTTGTACATGTTTATACATATAAATGTGCTTGGTATTTTTGGTAATTGATTATAAATAAAAATAATTTTCTAGAAAATAATAGAAGTAACTATTTATTCTTTTCAAATTCATGCCATGTTTTCACTATCATTTGCTAAATGTTTTTTTTTCTTTTTTCTCCAGCCACTACACATTTTTTTTGTATGAGAAAAATGATTAAAAGAAGGAAAACTGAAAAATATTTTCATTTATCATATGGAGGCAAAGGTTTCCCAAATTCCAAACAAGCAAATAAGCTTCAATTTCGTAGACAGCCCCACATAAAAGCATTTGATTCACTGTATGTTTTTATTGTTAATCTAAAGAACTTTGGCACTTCTGTTTAGATAGAATGCAAAGCTATATGTAGAGCATCAAAATAGTGGTAGTGTTGTGATAGATTTAGACTGACCATGAATAACAGGAAAATTCATCTGATGTACTTTTACTTGGAAACATATCTTGTCCGAAATTGTGCCATTCGAATCTTGTGGATCCAAGCATATACCATGGATTAAGAAGGAAGTTTGTTCTTGTACATTCTAATGGCTATACATCGTTTTTAGGATGGGATTTGTGCCCTAGACAAAGTTGAAGCAGCGTATAGGAAAGAGGTGGAGGCTAAAGAAGCAATTGAAGAAGTGATTCAGCTATGTTCATTATATCAGCTAAAAGATACAATCGATGTTGCTGATGATGGAGCAGATGAGAACAGGTTGCTTCCTGCAATGAACAAAATTTGGCCTTTCTTGGTGGTCTGCATTCAAAGTGGAAAACCAGTGGTGGGTAAACATTCTTGAGCCTTTGTTTATTGAAGTAGCATAGCAAGTTGTGTTTCGCTTTTGCCTATTATACTTCAAATTAGATACCAGGTATATTTAGTTCCTGGTTTTGTAGCTTTATCTGCTTATTTCCTGTTGGCCCCAGTTAAGCACCCCAATTACTCTGGAAAAGAAACATTGAGAGGAAAGTTTCTATTTTAGAATCACTTACAGAAAAGAATTAGAACTGTTGTTTGTTTGTATCATAAGAAGATGAACTGGTTCCAATCCAGTTCCCACACCTCTACTGACTCTGGAAAGGAGAGAAAAATTCTAGTTGCCTTGCCTCCTTTTCTGCCACTCATCATACATTGACTGTGTTTCCAGGTTGTCCGGAGGTGTTTAAGTGTGATAAGCACTGTAGTGCAAGTTTGCGGAGGAGATTTCTTTTCACGTCGCTTCCACACTGATGGGCCCCACTTCTGGAAACTTTTAACCACATCGCCATTTCAGAGAAAACCCAAATTGAAAGAGCCAGGAACATCATTGCAGCTTCCTTACAGAAGCATTTCTATTTCTTCAGAGGAGTCATTAGCTGAAGTTTCCAATTTGAAAGTCCATATTGCAGTGCTCAATATGATTGCTGATCTGGCCCAGAACAAAAGGAGCGCTTCGGCATTGGAAGTCGTCCTCAAGAAAGTCAGTGGTATTGTGGTGGGAATAGCTTGCAGTGGTGTTGTTGGTCTCCGAGATGCATCTGTAAATGCGCTACAAGGCCTTTCATCTATTGACCCTGATCTTGTATGGATTTTGTTAGCTGATGTATACTATTCCTTAAAGAAAAAGGACTTGCCTTCGCCACCCACCTCAGATTTACCCGAGTTTTCCCAGGTTTTGCCCCCACCATCGACACCCAAGGGATTCCTTTATGTTGAGTATGGAGGACAGACTTATGGTTTCGATGTTGATTTTAGTTCTGTTGAAGTTGTTTTCAAGAAGATGCATTCTCTTGTATTTTCTGACCAAATTTACTATTAAACTTACCAAATAAAATTACTGTCATGGTAATGAATTTCTTGCTTTGGCATGACTCTTTTTTATACGTCCTTGCAAATTTCTGTATCTTCATTTTTTAAAAAGAAAAGAAGGTAGGTTGTAATTGAATTAACTTTCACAATTTTGGTCGTGAAAACACCTATATAACTTATGGAACTCCAAATGAAAATTGTGTGAAATTCCAATAGAAGAGGGAAATTCTCCCCAGCCAAGTCTAATAATTGCATTCAAAAGGTTTGTTTTTTGTAAATTTACTGGAAGATTGTATAGAGATTGTATTATGATTGGTAAAATATATAAAGTTTTATTAAAAAATATAAAAATTTAAACTAAAACAAAATTAAAAGGTGAAAAAAGGCAACCTAAGTTAAAAAAAGTTGCCTAGATGAGTTACCATTTTATTTTAGAATGTGATCTTTGCATTCAATGTGGGAAAACAAAGAGACACTATTAAGTAAATAAGAGTATCTTGATTATTGAGCTATATATACAATATATATTTTGGAATATCTCAAAATATAAAGAATCCCACCCATTTAGTTGTAGCCAATATTGTATTTGTAGTTTACTATTTGATATATACTTTTAAAAACAGCCAATATGGTATTTACCACCAAGATCTTTACAGAAGGAGATCTTATAATAATTACCCCACTGTCCTATTTTCATTACTAATTATTATGGAATGCACGAATTCATTCAAGCAATCATCTATATGCATACATATAAGAGTATATATATATATATACATCTACATAGAGCGAGAGAGACAAACATAAGAGAAAAGGAACTTGATATAACATTCCTGTTGGTAAAAGGAGAAACTATAATGGAGAAACAACCATCATCATCATCATCATCATCATTATCATCAAAGGTTGGTGATGAGAAAACAATGTTATCCTCAGGGAGACAAGTTGTGAAGAGAAGTGAATCAGTTTCTTGTTCGAAGTGTTTGGTTTCGTCTCCGAAAACTGGAAATGCTGATCATAAGAAGAAAGATGGGATTTTTGGTGACATTGCAAAAGTTCTTGGCAATTCAAAGGGGAGCAACAGTTATGCCTATACACTTTCGGACTATGCTAAAAACTTCGATGATGGTCGTACAGACAAAAACAGTTAAGCTGTGAATCCTACCATTTAATCCAAATTTGTTCATCATCAATCCCATGATTAAAAGATTGTCTTATTGTTATTATTACTATTATTGTTATTGTTGTTATTGAAATATTATGTAAGAGAATGATAAAAAGTATAAAATGAAATTTCCTAGTTGATTGATATTTCCTAATTACAGACATGCACGTATATATGATTGTAGCTTGGAGAAGAATGTGCTTGTGTGTACATATTCATGTATAGTGGATTTTTTTTCAATAAAATGATTAAAAAAAACAACACTTATATAACTCATTGAACTTCAAAAGGATATTTGGTGAAATTATTACATTATTACATAGAATGGTTTCTTGAAAAAGCAAGAAAATGTTTAGATTTTAGCATTGGCAATTAATGGAAGAGTGCCTCAATAGATTCTTCTCTTTTGCTAAGGTGTTACAGAAAAAGTGTTGTTGTAATTATTATAATCTTTATAACAATATTCAACACTGAATTAAAACATTTTTTAAATTTAATTTAGTTAGTCCTATAAAATTTTAAAAACATCAACTAATTGTGTTTTTAGTTTTTGCATTCAGTCAGATAAACTAAAACAATGCCTCTAGGAAGAAAAAAAAAAGAGTCAGGTAAACCTATAGTTAGTCCAAAGGTAAAAATAAAATGAGGTTTTGTAATAATAACCCCATTTCCCTTCTTTGCCAATTACTATGCAATCCAGGAATTCATTTGAGCAATTACACGTGCATAAACACATATATATGTTTATATATCAAACACATGCTCCAGTGAGCGAGAGAGAAGACAGGAAACTTATTGGTATAACATTATTGTTGGTAAAATAAGAATCACAATGGAGAAACAATCATCATGGTTATCATCATCAAAGGAGAGGGAGGAGAAAATAATTCTGTTACCTGAGACTTGCTCAAGCTGTCTGGCTCCAACTCCGAAAGCTGGAAGTGATGATCATAAGAAATATGGGATTTTAGGTAGCATCACAAAAGTTCTGGGCAGCTCCAAGGAGAACAAAAATTTTAGCTATACACCCTCTGATTATGCTAAAAACTTTGATGGCTGTTGTTTGGACAATGCTTTTCTCGTGTTTGCAGTCCTTTTCGCTAAATTTGCATTGTACTCTCCTAAATATGTAAAATCTTGAGAAAGATAATGAGTCGTCATTCATATAGTAGGAATTGATAATTCTTTCTTGTCTATAATTAAATACAATTAGTAGTTAATGTAGAGATGATTGGAAGCATTATCACAATTCTTCAGACCCTAATCCATTGTATAAACAAAGTCAGAAACTTGTCATTCATGAGTATTATTTAAAAAAAAAAAAAATCTTGTATAGATCTGTACAGTTGAACAATTCAATCTTTCACACAACTAGATCAGATATCATACAGATTATCT